GTACCCCCCCCCCCCCCGCCTTACCCCGCCCACCCCCCTAATGTTACCACTGCCAAACAAGAATAACAACAAAAAAAAGAAAAACACAGGGGGACGCCACGACAACGCCACACGCCCCCTTTCTTGAACATGTAAAGCAATGGTCGTAAGTTTTAATTTTGATGGGCGTGTGGGAGGAAAAAGACTCTGGATCGCAGTTGCGGCGCACCTGGGACAGGCTTTGGGGCTCTCATCGCTCTCATCGATCATGGGCAAACGTCATTTTTTTTTCTCACGCTCGCTGCACCTCTGCCTTGTTCGACTGAGCGCCGGATCGGCAATCCCCATCGAGCTTGCTGCCCCTTTCTCATGCTGAGCAACCCTTACGCCGGTACTCCAGACTTGATCGCACCTTGATATCGGCGACATTGGCGACGCCGAGCCTCGAGTCGCCATCCCCAAACTGGTCATCGCACTCAACAACGGGCCAGCATCGGCATCCGCCACAATCGTGAGCCCATCGACCTTGCGGAACGACTCGTGGCCCCTCAACCTTGTCAACGTGCTCCAAACTTGGCTCGGACTCGGAAATTTGAGAATTTTTGTGACAACTGGCTCGGCTTTACACCGATCCCTCCATACCATTTGTTCGTGTGTGTGCGGCACAGGGCTGTCTGGAGTCCATTCCAGGCTCTGCCCCATCACAAGCCCGACCGCTTTGAACCGTGCCCGTGCAAGCTTGCTCCCGCCCACCTCCAATCCCCAATCCCCATCACACCTCCAAAAACAAAAACAAACAAACAGCCAACAGGAGTGCCACACCCACATTGCCACTACCAATGGTGGTGATTGTTTTGAATCGTTTGTTTCTGTTTCTTTCCTATGTGGGTTCCTCGTGAGCCTACATCCTACATCCCAAACTCCCTGTGGGCCTTGCACAAGAAGATCAACCACAAAAGAGAGAGCAACAGGAGCAACAACGCAACAACGTTGGAGCTGCAAAAGAGTCGCGCCTGCACCAGCTGCTCATAACCGCTCTTCACCTAAACCAGACGCTTTTTTTTTGGTAGGCGCGTCGTCGCTCCTCATCCATCTCGACAAGCACCAGGCCACACGAGCAGGCGGCTTGCATTTTCTTGCCCCGTGCTGCAAGCCCTGTGCGGCACGTGACCACTTGTGATTTTTATTATCGACATCAGACTGGTCACCACCCGCGATGTACAGTCGTGGGTTTGAGGATTGGCACGCCAGCAGTCGTCGCGAGAACGGCGATGCCGGCGCCAGCGTCATTGCTCTTGCCGACCTGGCCCGCATCCGTGTGTGGACCCGCCGCGACCCCAGCTATCGCAGTGAAAGCGGCAGCGATGCTTGCTCTGTGCGCAGCAACAGCATCAGCGATCTGGCCATCTCCGTGGATGACGATGCCGCTCTTCGCGAGGCCCGCCTTTCCCTGTCGGAGAGCCAAGAGCAAGCCATCATCCTGACGACGACCCAAACAGTAAACGAGCACCGACCACGACCGCGCGCCCTCTCGATCAATCGCAAGTCGCCGCCGCCCCATCCCACCTTTTTGAGCCGACGCTCCTCACTCCGCAACAGGCGCCCATCATTGCCCAGCGCGCCCCCGTGCCATGTACAGCGTCGATCAATACGCGTCCTGCCCGCCTTGCCGAACATTTCGGCTTTTTGATCCCGGGCCCCCGCGCCATGTGCCGTGCCGTCTTGTGCCGTGTTGTGAGTCCTGGCATGCTGTGAAGAGCATGCTGTTATTTCTTTCTGTATGGCTGGCTGCAACGTGTGCAAGTGCCAGCAAAAACTGCTGGTCAAGCTTGCCCGAGCGCCTCTGCCCTTTAGCTTCCTTGTAAAATACTTTTAGTTATTTGCCCCACACCCGTGTCTTTTGGAGACTGTGTTCATATCACTAGGGCCAAGTTGGACTGCGTCCTGGGCTATTTTCGCTCTCTCTCTCCTCCTCCTCCTCCTCCTCCTCCTCCTCCCCCTTCGTCTGCCTCTCGCTATTCTGTGAGAGAAGGAGAGTGCGTGCAGCTCTCTCTAAGTTTCACCTGTAATACTACCGCTCTGGGCCGTGCGGTTTGCTTCTTCTTGTTAGGCTTGTGTATCTAGAACGTTGGCTTTTTTTCATCTTCCTAACCCTCTCCTCTGCAGCCGTGCTGCTTAAAGCCGACTTTCCTCCCCAATCGATCACCCTTATTATCCAAGCCCTTCTCCAATTCAAATGCCACGTGCCACATCAGTGAAGAATTCCATGCAGCATCTTTGTAGGAGATTAGCCAGCGGAACGTCAGCGCCGTCGGCCACAAATGCCACGAACAAAAGAAACAAGGCAAACCCTTACTTTTACACATGGGAATATCGTTTTTGAAATGGGTGACTTTTTTTGTCTCTTCTTCCAAAGTCCCAACCAACCTTCTTCTGCTCGTGCCCCCAATCATGGGCAGTTGGTGTGTTGCCTGTTTCTCTGTGCTCCATTCCAGCCCAAAGCAGCCGGCATTACATCCGGATGTATCGCCATGAAATCGTTGGCGCCTTTGCCAACGAACCTGCACAAGTATTTCTTGCATAGGAAGATGGATCAGCCTCCGCCCTTCATCGCCGAGCCAACGCAGAGAGCAGCAAGGCACCTCTCGACTGAGCGAGCAGCCTTCCACAAACTGGGTGATCCCCAAACACTCATGCTCCCCAACACCCACAAAAATTAAAAGTTGATTTTGCCGAAGAAAAGCACACAAAAAGGGGAGTCTGTACTTTTTATGACATTTTGACGTTGTGGAAATGGGTTTTGCTTCATGCCTATGGGACTTGCTGGCTGTTGTCGTACAGGTTCCCACACACCCAGACGCACACGCAGTGGCGTCTCAACAGTGGTTGGTCTCGGTTGACAAGTGCAAGTGCAAGAGGTAGACACAGGCACGAGCAGACCTCATCACACGGCAGCGGTTGAACGAGAGCACCGACAGAGCACCGACAGAGCATAACCAGCCAAAAACTAGAGTCACTCACCTGCTCCGCAAGGCACGAAGCACGAGCTTGTCTGGTCAGACGAGCAACAGGCTTGACGAATAAACCGACAAAGACTTTGGCTGTGCCACGGCTTTTGCGTCCCCATGGACCCAACATGACCCCAAGACACGTCCACGCCAACGACAACGAAGAAGGGGGGCCAGGACACATTACAGCCACAGGAGGAGACCAGCGACCTTGTCGGACAGCACTCACTCCTTCGACACCAACCCGACCCATCCGGCCAGTGCCTCGAATTAACCACCCTTACGTGTCGACATTTCGTTGTGTTGGGGGTCACTTTGACTTGAAGCCCCAAGCTGCAGGCTTGGAATGGGGGTTGGGATCATGCAGAAAGAGACCTCGGGAATCCCTTCATTCCAGACTCAACGATGAATCGAGACGAGCTTTTTGAGGCGAGTTTGGGAACGGCTTGCTCCACACGACAAGTCTTTGCTCATTTTTTTGGGTAGATCGACATCGCACAAACAAGGCAAACATCGCCCGGACCATCCCACAATGACTCACGAGACAATGACACAGACTGGCCGTGCCGTTGCAAAGGCATCCCAGGGCACGAGTACCACGAGCAAGAACGCCGAAATCTCTGTCATTGACATGGCCTACAAAATCCGCATTCGCGTCGCTCGCCAAAGCCAGGTTGAAGCGCACCTCACGAGCATCGCCGAACAACCGACCAAGTCCAACAAGTCCAACTTGGCAGCCCGCTTCGTCGCTACACTCAAACGCAAGACCTTTCGCCAAAAGAACGACAGCCAGCCGGGATCGTGCAAGACCCCGCCGCTGTCGCCCAGGAGCCGACGTCGCATGATCAACACCACCCTCACTAGCAGCCTGCGACGAACCCTCATGGAGAGCCCCAACGCTCAGAGCGGGCGTCAAGACACGGTTCTCGTCTGAACCCCCACGTTCCTCTCGGCATATTTGGCGCAAAGTCGACAGTTTGAATTGCGCCCCTACAGCTTCGCAAGCTGTTTATGATAACATTTATTTTTCTTTTCTTTTCGAGTTCTATGCCTCCTGATTGATTATCCGAGAACGAGGCGTCTTGTTAGTTGGCCATCGAGCCGACGCAAGATCTATTCGTGGCTTATTTTGTTTTTCCTGTGACTGGTCTGCGAGCTGCGCTCGACAACAACATGTGAATAGTATACGCCTATAACCCGTTCTTTCCCCCTTCATTCACCGTGCACTGTGCCGGACACACTGCAAAACTTGACTTTGCATATCAATCGAATCCTCTCTCATGTGTACATGACACCGTTTATCAGACCAGATACATCAAGCTTCAAGCACTCGAACAGGAGCCAACAGACAAAGCTTTAAACGAAACAGAAACTCGCCCAGAAGGTGCATGAATGTACGGTAAATGCGCTTCAATTAAACAACTATTGGTCAGGTGAGAAAATGAAAGATCGAGTCCACTTGCACGGCCAGCTCAATCAGACGTGGTCGAATCTCCTAGAGTAAAGACAATCACAATCGCCTGAGCCTGAGCCTGGACCCCAGACCACCACCAAGAGCAGACCAGCAATCATTCAAATTCCGGGCCGAACCTTGTAGTAGTTGCCGTAGGCATAGCCTACCAACAGGCCACCCAAATGGGCAGCGTGCCCCAGACGCGACCAGCCGAGAACCAGGCCAGCCACGTCAAACATCATGACGGCAATCATGGCCTGCCAGGTTGAACAGCAGTGGTAGCATGGGTGGTCATGGCATGAGGCCGAGCACGACGAAAACTCCACGCAACAAAAGTTGGTGCGGCAAACCTGTTCTGCTGAAAAGGTGAAAAAGGGCAAAAAAATGATGGAAAGCTTGGCCTCGGGATCCACGGCCGTGACAAAGCCAAAAAGGCCAAAGACAATGCCCGATGCACCCAGACCGGCAAAATGGCGAGCAGCCACAAAGGCATGCACCATCGAAGCCACGGATGATCCCAGTCCTGAGTACGGAGAATGACAGGTCATCAGCCCATGGACAAAAAAAAAAAAAAAACAGCTTGGGCTTTGGACCTCGTCTTAAAATGCGTACCAGCCCAGCCCAAGAGTGCCAAAAACTCGCCGCCGGTCAACTGTCCATTCTTGACGCAAACGGCTGGACAAAGGCACGGAAAAGCGCAAGGAAGCTTGGGTGAGCACTTTCCTTGAAGATAGATTCATCTCCTCAGGCAAGGACTGCTCCACAAGACGTACCAAAAGACTGAAACGCAATCATATTGAAGAGGAAATGAATGGCGTCCTTATGGCTGATATTAGCACCAACCATCTGCGTCAAGCGGCCTAACCAGGAGGAGAGCCAGCTCGTCATCAGTACTGCGTCCACTTTGGCTCTAACCAAGCCCGCAAGCAAGCAAGCAAAACTTTGACCCTGACACTTGGGTGCATACCGCTGAGAGGGGCATGCATAAAGTTGCGCAGCAAAAACCTCTGCATGTTGGGCAAACGCCAAAGAAGAAAGACGACGGCATTGACTCCTATAAAGGCTGCACTCCACCATTCGCGTACCACAGTAGGGCAAGAAATGAGTTGGCCCATGAGCATACGACACGAATCAGTGCAAGTGCACACGCACACACTCACTGTAAATGATGCCCTTGCCCAGGAGCGTGTGCGGCATTGAAGTGATGAGCTCCTGCGACAGCACAAACCAAGCAAGGATGATACAACGGATTGAGCGCACCCGCGACAATACAATCGGCACAGCTCAACACCACTCAGATTGATTTCTGACCGTGCGCAGTGCTTGGTGCAGCCGACCATAAAGAGTGGCCAGCCATTGTTGACCCTCATCAACGGCATGGCTAAGAATGAGAAATGAGAGGGCAAAAAGAGTACCATGAGCCAGTCTTCGGCGCACTGGACACCACAATCAGGATTAAGCTGTGTCCTGCATGCTAAGGATCGGGCATGCAGGCCGCACCGACAAGCCTCGCGCAGACGCCGCTCCACCCCCATACTAGATGAATGGCAAAGCATGCGATGGGCGCGTGCGTGAGCCGGGGATAGGGAAGCAAGGGCAAGGCAACAGAATGCAAAGAAGACTTTAAAGACACACTAAGTTTTGTAGATGCTTAGACCCAGCTTTTCTTGCTTCAAGATACCATAGCCAGCAAAGACGGCGAGTCCGAATGCACTCTACTCCAAACACAGAGATAAGAAACAGCCGTGATAAGCCAACGGCCGACCCGAGTGCTGCAATTCCAATGTCAAGATGCAAGGGAGGGAGCGTGCACACACACACACACACACACACACACACACACACACACACACACACACACACACACACACACACACACACACACACACACAAGGTCTTGAACAAAAGCCACGTACTGCGCCGGCAAAGGCCAAGGGCCGAGCAATGAGGTAGGAAAACGTCATGCGCTCGGGTCGTGCACAATAAGCGTCGATGTTTGGGCCAGCCTCGGCTGCGAGCATGTTGTACGCGCTCTGAGAATCCCGCGTTCGGCGCGTGACTCGCCGTCTAGTGCCAAGCCACATGCAAATGAGTAAACCCAAGCATTTTGGATCAAGTGAAAAAACTGAAGTACATGCATGACGTACGGCCGATTTGACTGTGTGGCCATGCGCCGCCAGGCTGGCAACTGCTGCGTGCCGAGGCTGCAGGAGCAGGTGGTGCATTCAGTAAGATTTGCAGACGAACACACGCACCCTCAGGAAGCAAGAGACTCACTGCTGGACCCGAGATTGTTGCGCGGCCAATGAGGATGGCCAAACCAAAACTGCCCGAACACTCTGGCGTGCTGCTTGCCACAGCGCTGTCCGGCCCGCCATGATGCCTGTCGTCCCGTCCCGAGCCACGAGGCTCACGTGTCCACCCAACCTAAGCAGCCATGTCGTGAATTAAAGGGAGAAAAAAAAGCACGACCCACCATCTTCACACTACGCACACCCGAGTCTCCTACCGCTGCACTACACGCCCAGACCGTGCCTACCAAACTAGCCCACGGGTGGGGCGAGCCAAGGAGGTCGTCCGTCGTCTGTCCACCGATCCAGCGCGCGCAGCAAAATTTTTTATTGAAACAAACTGCAAGCAATACACAGAGAGAGCACAGAGAGAGATAGTGCAGTCGATGACTGGAATTGTCTGACAAAAGAGCAGCAGTCTCTGTGAGTCTTTCCCGAGATTGAAAGACCAAATGGAAAAAATAAAAAAAAACTTGCACACACACACACACACACACACACACACACACACACACACACACACACACACACACACACACCGACAGTTTTTCTCACAAGGCCAAAGGGCAGCGGCAAGAGCTTGTCCTCACTGCGCTGTAGTTCGGTTGCAGGCTGCGAGTGTGTGCGCGGCGTCGCAGCTGTAGATTTTTTTTTGGCGGGATTGCACTGCATTGCGCGTGGAGGGTGGCCATCATCCTTTGACCGGCGCCATGGGTCTGGTGCGTATATTCCGCGGACTGAGAAGCCGGCGCGGCTTACGCGCCGGCCGCATCGCCCTGTCTGCCGTTGATTCGGGGCCTCACCACTGAACCGGGTGCTGACATAGTTTGGGGCTGCCCCGAAGAAGGTGGAAGAGCAACAGGTTTGTCATGGACCCAATGTATCGGCCGAGACGACCGTGATCCTGCTTCATTCTTTGTGTTTATGTACATCAGAAGTACTTCTCAGCCGTAGATGGCATCAAGCGGCTCTACAAGTCCCGTATCCGCCCTGTTGAGGAACTCTACAAGGTTGAGCTACCGCTCGCGCTCAAGGCACCGTTTTTTTTTTCTTCTTTTTTTTTTTTTTTTGCGCGCGCACCTCATCTGATTTTGCGTCCACGCTCTGCCCTTGCTTGTCCGTCTTGTTTCAGTATCAGGCCATGAACTCGGCCACCCTGACTGATGCCGACTTTGACGCCCGCCCACAAGTTAGTCTGGAGCGTCATACCACACGCACACGCGCGCGTGCATACACACAACACCCACACACTCACTCAGGCGCTATGTTGTGGGCCACGCTCACCTCTCATCTTGCTCTCTGTCAGGTCCTGCTTTTGGGCCAGTACTCCGTGGGCAAGACGTCCTTCATCAAGTATTTGCTGGTAGGATTCACCGCTGAAGACTTATTCCTGATGTCGAAAATGCAAATGGGTGTGACACGCCATGCAACTCATTTGCACCCCCCTGCCTCGAGAAGGAGCGGGACTTTCCGGGTTCCCATATTGGACCCGAACCAACCACAGATCGTTTCATGGCCATCATGCACGGGCCAACCGAACGTGTCACGCCCGGCAACGCCCTTGCTGTGCAGGAAGACAAGCCTTTCCGCGGCCTCCAACAGTTTGGCACTTCTTTTCTCCAGCGCCTGGTGCGACCACTTTCGAAGCAATCCTCAAACTCAATAGCTTGATTTGAAGCCTTATTGCTACCCTTGTACCCTTGTTCAGGAAATCCGGGCCTCGTCTCTCACTCTGCTGCACCCTCGCATGTATGCTCTACCTTGCTTGTCGTCAGGAATGCTCGCAATGCGACTCTGAGATTCTCAAGTCGGTCACTTTTGTGGACAGCCCTGGCGTTTTGAGCGGTTTGTTCAGTGTCGTTCTTCCTCGTGCCTTCCTTTTCTGCTCCTGGTACAACCGAATGCTTGACAGCTCGCTGTGTGCATCTGTGCATCTACACTGTTATATGGCCCGGCATTTGTATCCACAATGATCAGGCGAGAAACAACGCATTGGTCGGGCCTATGACTTTGTCAAGGTTGTTGAATGGTTTGCACAAAAGTCAGGTACGAGTCGCGCTGCGCAAGCGGCCCTGTCTGATTGTCGCTATACCTCATGCCGCCCTGTGATCTCTCTACAGACTTGATTATTCTGCTTTTTGATGCGCATAAGCTGGACATTTCCGATGAATTCAAACGCACCATCGTTGCTCTGAAGCAGCACGATGAGAAAATCCGCGTGGTACTCAACAAGGCTGACAGCGTCAGCGAGCAGCAACTCATGCGCGTGTATGTTCCGTTCCCTTAATCTTACTCTATTCCCTCTGATCCAGTGACAAGTGCCCCTGCTTACCTTCTGCCGCTGCGCTGCCCATCGGCATTTTGATGTTTCATGGCCGAATGCAGTTATGGCGCCCTGATGTGGTCCCTTGGCAAGGTGTCGCAGACGCCAGAGGTCAAGCGAGTCTACATCTCATCCTTCTGGGAATACCCGCTGCGTGTACGTGCTACCCACTTGGACGTGACCTGGTTTTCAGCGAACAAAGCGAGTCGATTTAGTTAGTGCCGCTCCTCACCCGGCTCTTGATGCTAATAATTACAGGACGGTTCCAATGTTGAACTCTTTGAAAAGGAGCGTGATGACCTTTTGCGAGAGTTGCGTGATCTCCCACGTTACGCTGCCGTGCGCAAGGTACAGAAACCCTCACTCGATGGGCTCTCTATTCAAGTCAACGCCTGCTCGCCTCGTCCCCGCCTCAACCTGCGCGATGACCTCGTGTGCCTTTTGCTTGCTAGATCAACGAGCTTGTAAAGCGAACTCGCTACGTCAAGGTCAGAGGGCTTTTGGTTTTTTGCCTTTGCCAAACTGATCGCCTGACGCCATAGTGCTGGCTCTCACTCACCTTAACCTCCATGCAGGTTCATGCCTTGCTCATCGGCCACATCAAGTCATTGATGCCCACCATGTGGGGCAAGCAGTCGAAGCAACAATGGATCATCAACAACATGCGCGAGATCTTCCGATCCGTTCAGCGCGAGCATCAACTGCCCATGGGTACATGTTTCGCCCACGTCCAAAACCTAGCCCACTAGTCAAAGAAACATGCTGCCCTGATGAGTGTCTGTTCGTAACTCTAGGTGATTTTCCCAACATTGAGCACTTTATCACCTGCATTAAAGACTACGATTTCAGCCGCTTTCCCAAGGTTGACATGGCGTACGTCTCAGCGTCAAGTTACCGCGTGTTTTTGAACTGGGTGCAGACTTTTCTCTTTTTTTTTTTTTTTTTTTTTTTTTTTTTTTTTTTTTTTCTTTCTTTCTTTCTCTCATACACATATATATGATTTTTTTGACTCATCAACACGTACCGATAGGCTGATTGAATCCATGGACCAAGTTTTGGCCCGCGACGTTCCTGCCATCATGAACGACTTTCCACCGGAGCGGTGCGTGATCTTGGGGGCCTGCAGGCAATTTCAAGCCCACGTAGGGTCCCACGGGGACCACGACCAGCCATTGAAAGAACTGCTGAAAGCCGATTGGCGTCAGCTGCACATGCCTGTGGCATTGATTTCATTTATTTTTGGTGTGTTGCTTTGTTGATTCTTCAATGGTCATTTGATCTTTTCAGAGAGGATGCAGCACAGATGGCGCGTGCGGCCGCCAGTCACGAACCTACAGCTGCTTCATCTTCCGCCGCTGCTTCATCGGGTGCACCCCCGGCCGTAAGTGCGCATGGCACCGCTTTTGCAACATGCCTGCAGAGGCTCAAGGCCCTCGATTTCCTTGGATGCCCTGCTTTTGCCAACGCACAGGGAAGCAACCCCTTTGACCCTTTTGGCACTGCGACAACCAGCGTGTCAACGGAGTGGATCATCACCATGAGCAAACAGGCCGAGTACCGCAACATCTTTGCATCGGCTGGTCCCGTTGATGGCAAGCTTTCTGGTGCCTCGGCCAAGGAGGTCTTGGTCAAATCGCGCCTTGACCCATCCGTCTTGGGACGCATTTGGACACTATCTGACATTGATAGCGATGGCTACCTGGACGAGGAAGAGTTTTGCGTTGCGATGCATCTGTGTCACGAATGCCTGGGCGGTCAAGAACTGCCCAGCAAGTTGCCCGACCTGTTGGTGCCACCCACCAAACGCCACATTGATAGTGCCTGCTAGGCGGCCTGCAGCCGTTCTAGGCATATGTGTGCTGACTCCGTTCAACGCCAAAGCTTTTTGTTTGCACATCCTGTTAGAAACTCATGTGGCATGCTGATCGTCTGGTGGTGTGTCACATCACTTTTCGCGCCTTTTTTTTCCCCTCATTTGTCAACAAATCCCAAAACGCTCTTTTGGCTGTTTGCTTCCTCATTTTCTCTCTCTCCCTCTCTCTTCTTTACCTCTCTCTCTCTCTTCTTTACCTCATTATCAATTCAGCCACCACCATCGCACAAGTTTGCACTTGTTTCTGGCGGCCGCTTTCACGCTCCTCAAAGACATCCATTTCCCGTTGATCATCTTGATGCTGATAGGCACGTCTTGCGAGTGCAAAGACGGGTGCTCTTAGTTCACAATGTGGGATGTCAAACCCAACCAAGCTCGAATGCAATCCTATTACTTGCGTTCAGAGCGTCTGCCACACAGCACCGTTCACGAAGAAGCTAGCACAGATACACGTGCAGCTCAAGTGCAGACTCGCTATCAGATTTTGACCCGGATATTGGCACATTCAAACCTGGGCGTGGCCGTGACCGTGGCGACTGATCCTGAGACATCTGCTCCAGTCTTGTTGTGTGTAGCTCAAGCTAGATTTTTTGCCACACGCGCGTGGCGAACGGTCATTGAACGTCATGAACTCGCCCCCTGCTTCTCGGATCTGCAAGCTGCATCTTTACATGATGTATGTGGTATGTGATTTGCAGCGATGATCATTTGGTTCTCATACCAACATTTTCCCTAAATAAGTAGATTGTGCGCGTTTTTCCGTTTTATCTGGCCTATAACTGGTCGGGCCTCGTGGTAGGCCAAGGCGAGAGCTGCCTGGTTATTCCTCATTTGAGTAAGAGCAAGTTGACCTCTTTATAATCGTATGAAGTAAACGTTCTAGGAAACGGGTGCTCATATCATTTGGCAGGTCATCTGCAACGGAAACCGGTCCCTGCTCTGGCCGTGCACTTTAAAACATGCCAAGATGCTTTGCAACTTGACCTGCAAATTGTACTTTGGAGTTATTGTACTACACCGGTTTGTGCGCGTGACGTGAGCTGGTACCTCACTGACCTTGGACAAGTTTTGATGCTGACAAACTCATTCCCATTCGGAACCGAAATGCATGCAGCTCGAGGCCCTAGTGTCGACAGCCACCGCTGCGCAGGCTCGGGGAGGTCAGCTCGTGACAACGGATCAGGTTGGCTCGCTGGACAAGATCTGATAAATGCATTTTTCCTACGACGATCGTTTTTAAGTCACAGTAGCTCTCGTGCACACAGCCCAATTTTCTTACTCAGAGCGATTTCGCATGATATGATGGCAGGAGGGATGCCTGGAGATGCCTTCGCGCGGCAATGGCGCGTTCTCATGCTTACGCGCGATCCTCAAGGGCATAGTGATTTCTGTGCTTCATGGTCAAATCAGGTGACTCAAGCTGACATGATGCTCCCGAAATTGGATTTTGTCGCCTCACTTGATAGCTCTGATGTGAGCGTACATCCTGGAGCCTGACCTCTGAATTTTCCAATTAGTTTGGCATTGACGTCCCGCTGGCATGTCAGGCCTCTGACAACATCATGGTCCATCTTGAGCGTCCTGGTCAGCAGCATTACGCAGCACTGGAAACGCTCTTGTTCGAACCCCCCATCACAATCTCTAACCGGAAAATGGAAGCCGAGGCGTACGTTGCTCCATGACGGCACCAACAAGACTGAGTGCCACACGGAATCATCTCACACGCATTGCGTCGTCCTGGGTTGTCGTACTTGCTGCCAGTGCTGCAAGCCTGGCACCAGGAGTTGATGAAGCGATTGGGCTATTGGAGGTGCTAGGCTGTCAAGCTTCACAGGTTGGATCCCGGCGTTTTCTTTTTTTTTTCCTCAACCTCATCCCACTCCTCGGCGATACTTCATGTATTCAAACCCTACTCGCTCAGGTTAAATGTGTGGCAGCAGCCCCAGCAGCACTCAAGGCGATGTCTAAAGACGTTCCTCTCGGCTTGTCTGATGACGCTGCCCTCCCACAATCGCTGGAAGCAAAGGCCACTGACACTGTGCAGTCCACGCCGCGCGGTAAGAACACCAGCAATATGATTTATTTTCAAACACTGCTGGGCTACCCAAACATAATTTGACACGATCGACCATGTTGGGGTCACACGCAGCAGCCCGGCGACGCTTGAAATTCGGAGCTGGTAAGGCAAAGCGTGATATGCCACAGCCAGCAAAAGCCGCGACTGCCCCGAAGAAGGCTCGACTAGTGGCTACACAGCCAGCAAAAGCTGCGACTGCCCCGAAGAAGGCTCGACTAGTGGCTACACAGCCAGCAGAAGCCGCGACTGCCCCGAAGAAGACTCGATCGGTGGCTACACAGCCAGCAGAAGTCGCGACTGTCCCGAAGAAGACTCGATCGGTGGCTACACAGCCAGCAGAAGCCGCGACTGCCCCGAAGAAGACTCGATCGGTGGCTACACAGCCAGCAGAAGTCGCGACTGTCCCGAAGAAGACTCGATCGGTGGCTACACAGCCAGCAGAAGCCGCGACTGCCCCGAAGAAGACTCGATCGAAGGTTACACAGCCAGCAGAAGCCGCGACTGCCCCGAAGAAGACTCGATCGGTGGCTACACAGCCAGCAGAAGTCGCGACTGTCCCGAAGAAGACTCGATCGGTGGCTACACAGCCAGCAGAAGCCGCGACTGCCCCGAAGAAGACTCGATCGAAGGTTACACAGCAGGCGGCAACTGCTGGCCAGAATGGCGGGTCCCAGACCGTCACGGCTCCCCGGCAGGCGGCCTCATCTGCCACAGTCATCCAGGAGGTGCGTCAAGTGGTTTAGTCTTCCCATACATCGCATCCGAAACGCGTCAAGTCTTTATGTTTTCATTCAAATCTTGCTCACTTTGCGCGATAGTTGGACATGGCCAATGCCGCATCGCGCGAGGCGTGGTCATCGTTAGACCCCTCCTCTTTGAGTGTTCTTCAAATGAGGGATTGGCTGCAGAAGCGGGGCATCAAAGTATGAGCTTGACTGATTAGGTGGTGGCACGTTGCAATCTGATCGCCATTGCTGACTTTGCGTTGGTGCATCTTAGGGCTTGCGGCGTTTGAAGCAACAACAGTTACGAAAACTCATCGAAAACGAGATGCAGTCTACCCATGAACAACTAAGCCCAACACATCCATAGCTAACTTATAATTGACCAGCTTCGAGTTTTAGTTTTGGCGCGTTACTCGATAGTGTCGTGATTGTGCAGTGCAAAGCAACGTGACACGCGCGAAGCACAGCGATGGCAAGAAAAACTAATTGAGAACAGCTGAGAAAATGATAAAGAAAATACAAAAAAAAAAAAAAAAAAAAAAAAAGAAATTCAATGACGGACTCAATTTTTCGGCCCAATCGCTTTTGTCTCTTAAACCTCTCCCACTCTTAATTATTTTCCTCATCAGATTTCAAATTAACATGCCTATCATGTCAGGCACGACTCTGTAAGGCACACGTGCCACATATTGAGATTGCCATCAGATACGCCGTCGATTCATCCGTCTGTCTCGAAATTGTTGACGGGCAAGTTCATGGCAGAGACATGGCCCATGGTCATCTCAGAGAGTCTCAAAAGCTTGTTCAAGGGCCTCGTCTTCGGCGCCATAGACAGAGCTTAGATGCACTGTGACGGCACCGGCCAGCTCGCAAAGTTGTTGCACCTACAAATCATAAAATTCAAGGGCCGTGGAAGAGAGTGTCTTGTCAGCGAACAACACGGTTTGATTGCGAATGTCGTACAGTCACAAACCGTGCTGATGTTGGATGGATGAATATTCAGGCAGACGAGGCACACCTGGTTTCGACATTGTCAAATGGGCCCGCACCAAGTCACGCAGCCACTGCAAAGCCATCAAGTTGATTGGCGGCCAGGCCTCAATAATAAACAGCTGGCCCCGAGCCTTCCGGACAAGGACCCCTGCTCTCCAAATCGTGCGGCAAGGGTGCGGCAAGCAGGGATCAGACAAGGCCAGGGTCGAGCCGACGCCAACAGTGGCAATGTCTTACCATTGAGTTCAAGCCAGTTGCACGACAACAGTTCAGATTCGGCGCGCCTGAGATGGATGCGTCAGAGGGCCATGAGGTGATGGCAGCAACGGCGATCGAGAACAAGGGCTACGTCGCAAGCCTGGCAGTTCGCACGCGGGTTCTGGACGTGTAGGTTGTGCATTAAGACATGCCCAAGCAGAGGCATCCATGTCCTCTTGGCGCACGCTATGGGGTAATTTCAGCTTTTCACGCGGTAGCTCAGCGGCTGCCATCAGTTTGGTGTGAAAGTGCGCAGCGCGTGACCTGAGAAGAAACAGCACCACCATCACCACCACAACAACAACAACGATACCAACCCAAATCAAAGCCCATTGGTCAATGAGCACCTGTTCGAGGAGCAGCCACGCACAAAGTGATGTTCAAATGTGACTTACCGTTGATAGTCAAGAATGCGAAGCTCTTGACCGTTGATGTCATGCACGACCCAGAAATTGCGGTTTTGCAGGGGTCCCACGACACGGATACTATTGGCCACAAATGTATGAGCACAGTCCTTTGCGTAACAGGCGCGAAGAGCAATGGCTGCACAGAAGCTCCAGAGAAAAGCGTACCGCCGAGCCGAATCAGTCTGGCTAGCAAAGCGTGTACAGGGCTGGTTTGGCTTGGATCGGAGCAAATGATCAGTATGCAATATCTTGCGGGTAGCTGAGCGCTGCTGTCGTGCAAAGAGCGCGCGAAGCCGACCGGGCGACGAGAGCGCCTTCCGAGTTCCCTGCCATGTGTTCGTATCAAGAGGCTGATTGGTGACATCCAATGAATTGGTTGAGCTCGACAGTCGGCGTGGTCGCTTGGCAGCCCCATTCGGAGGCTCTGGGGTCGCGGAAGTGCTTGTTGTCTGACTAGCGGCGTCTTCGACTCGAAGCATGTTACTGCTTGGTGGTGAGGCGGGCGGGAGCACGGGGCCGAAGGATAACGTGTCTCCATGTGGGGCTAGCGTTGATGTTGGTATTGTCGTGGGTTGTTCGTCTGAAGCGCTGGGTAGGGCCGTGAGGGTTTCAGCGGAGGTAGTGCCACTTGGCTCTGGAGATGGGTCTTCAGACTCTGAATGTACGTGTGCATTTGCTTGCGCGGATTCATCAGGTATCCGACAATCCGCGGCTGGCTGCGAGGACACCAAACGCCCTGCCTGTAGTGTCGTACCCAGGGGTAGGGCATAATAGGCGGCACAGGCAGTTTCAAACGCTTGCAAAAGCTCGTCTTGTTGTTCCATAAAGTATTGCAGCTTATCAACGGCAACATTGATGTCGAGGGTTGGTGCAGCGACTCGAAGCTGCAGATAGAGGTGGGCCCATCGTCGGCGCCCAGAGCCTTTCCACCAGTGCTTGTTTAAAGCGTAGAGAAACGGGCGACCGTCAACGTACCGGTCGTTGACAAAGACAAATGCCCGGTCCCCTTGACTGCGGGATATGGCTTCGATAGGGGCCTCGCGACGTGGGACATAGGCTTCGAAGTGACCGGCTGGAGTGTTTCCACTCAAAGCATGTAAGCTGTGAACGTGAACGGCGCCAAAGGTAGCACCAATAGCACCCAAAAAATCCTTGGCCGCTCGTTTACGCCAGGTGACAGCGTTGCGGCCTGTGGCGCTAAACTGCAAGTGGAGGCCTGGGTGGATAAGGCCATATGCACGGCAGTAGTGCTGTGCCAGAGCCATCTCTTGTTTGCGGGCAGAGGCTGCTTGATGCGCCTGCAGATAAACCGAGGCAAGAGGCAGAAGCATGTAATCATTCGTCATGTCAAGCATGTACACAAAACAAGCACCCTCTGACATGCCAACAGCCAAATCGTTTCGTCATGCTGCACTGAGAGCAGGAACCAACCAACCTGGCGACGGACAGGCAAAGCATGGAAGAGACGGGTTACTACGATGCTGGTGCCCACGCCCGCATTGGCTGTCAAAGTAGGGCGAGGGCGCGGTTCCTAGAAGCAGGACCCGCATCAGTCAGCCCGTTGCTTGAAGACCCCCCACTCGCTGGAATTGCGCTTGGCCAAGACTTTAACGCTCCAATCTGCACTGTCATGTGCGTCGCAGGTGCGGTGTGTTAGCAAGATTCGCGCCATCCAAACCTTTGAGCGTAGGGTGAGTTGGCGGGCGGGCGTGTTGGCATGCTGCGCCGAAGTGATGACAAGTTCAGCCGCGCACTCGCGAATGCTGGACAAGGCTACAAAATAAGCGAGCAAGCAAGTCATTGGCCAACGGAGCAAGGTGTCTTTGTGAGGCCGCCAAAACTCTGTGGCAGCACAATGAGTGCATTTCCTCAGCGGCTGTGCCCTCACCTTCGCCCCGGAAACCCAGAGTGGCGAGGTGTTGCAGCTCATCAATGGATGCCAACTTGCTGGTGCAGTGCGGTTCGGCAATTACAGCCAGATCGGCCTAAATCACACCCCAGTATGGCAAGGTCGTGCAGTGGTCATGTTACAAGTTCAAGCAGGCCATTGAGCGAGCATTTGCACGGATGCGCGTGGTTGCAGCAAGCATGATCACCTCGCTCATGCCTTTGCCGTTGTCGGTGACCCGGATCAAGTCAAGGCCTGCATTGGCAAGGCGAACGTCAATGTTGGTGGCGCCTGCATCGATGCTGTTTTCAATCAGCTCCTTGACCACCTGGGAGGCGGTGGGCACCACCTGCTCGCTGCTCAATCTGCGCTGACACGCCGCGCTGAGGAGGCGCAGTGATGGTGGCTCAGACTGGTTGTCTTCGGTCTCGTTGTCGGCCGACACAGGGTCTGGTTCTGCATCTTCCATGGTCCCCTCTCCCAGCCACTCTCAGCCCTAACCTATAGACTCAAAGCCGACCACCTCCCGCCTGCCAATGCCCTGCCAGCAAAAGTGAGCGGTCACCCCGGCGGTCTCGTGTGTGTGTGCGTGCTGAAACTGTTGTTTCAGTTTTATTGCTTTTGACGTTTTTTGATCAAATTTGATCAAAAAAATTTACTCTCTCTCTCTCTCTCTCTCTCTCTCTCTCTCTCTCTCTCTCTCTCTCTCTCTCTCTCTCTCTCTCTCTCTCTCTCTCTCTCTCTCTCTCTCTTGCTTTTCCAATTTCTCTCTCTGTCTGTCTCTCTCTGTCCCTCTCAACGCGACGAATCCCCTTGTGGCGACAAGGCAGCAATGGCGGCGCGGCGGCTGGTGGCTGGTGGTGGTGGTGGTGGTGGTGAGGGTGAGGGGGGAGGCAAGGATGACAAGGATGCGCAGGCCCAAGCACGAGCCAGTTACAGTCGTGAGCAGATCATGCAAAAGCTGCAGGCACTCTACAACACTGACCATACAGGTGTGTGGCTCAGCGCTTCGTGTTTGACCACAGCCGCCTGGGTCGGGGCATGCTCATGGAGTGGAGTTTGCATAATGACAACCGTGCATAGGTCTTTGTGCCATCGGTCAGCGGCTGGGTCTCAAGATTCATGCACCCCAGTCTAAGGTAAAGTTTTTGCCGGCTGTCTCCGTCTGCGGGAAGGCCGCCACGAAAAGGGGCATTCCAGTCGCCCTGTGCGCCAGACTGAGTGCTCTGACTTGTATGGGCGCAGGTGACAGTGTTGCTTGTGGGCAACCATTCTGCTGGCAAGAGTAGCTTTATCAACTGGTGAGTCGATACTCTCACATGCCCAGCTGCTTGGTTCTGAAGAGAGCTGTCAGGGATGAATATGGGGTGCTCTACTGTCCGGTTTTCGCAGGTACATCCAGGAGAACCTGCAAAAAACAGGCGTGGCCATGGAGACGAATACCGTCACCCTGGTGACACACGGGCAAAAGCGTGAAACTCTTGGCGTACGTCCTATTTTCTTCTCAGACGTGATAGTTTGTCTTCCTCGATCTTGCAGGGCGATCAGTCGCACTTCGAAGCTGACTTCTTGTGGTTGGGGCAGGGCGAAGCAACGATTCAAGCATTCCCCTACTTTAAGGACCTTGCTGAGCGGGCTGGGCTTGTCGGCAGTCTGACCACCCAGATTTCAACCTCTCGCGAGCGGGCCTTTCCACTGGTATGCAATGCTTGTCTTGGGTACATTACCTCGAGCAGGCGCTTTTTTTCGCAGCTCCCGTCTTCACATTCTGGATGGGACCAATGCCTCGCACTCGAAATGGTGGGTACCTTTCAGGTCACCTTCATTGATACGCCAGGTCTTGTCGATGGTGATCTCAAGTACACGTTTGACATTGAGACGGCGATCACACTGCTAGGTTTGTCCGCACATGTTGGCGCCGATGGATGTTCAAGTTGGGATGAGATGACACCTCACTGCATTTTACGAATTTGCAATCGTGGCCCTTGCTCCATGGTATGGACCCACACCCACGTTAGGGGCCAAGGCTGAGCTGACCTGCGTTTTTTTCGATCCGCTGGGTCAAGCTTTGTGCAAGCGCACGCTGGACATTGTTGGTGCGTGAAGGATACAAGGCAATTTCGTGACGCGCGGTGGTCCGGTCTTCTTTGTCACGTACCTGATTGCTGACACAGTCTGCCTGCCGTGTGGGGGGGTCCATGTGCGGTGGTCCATGTGTCTATCCTTGTAGAGCGCTTGCAAATAGCTGCCTCTGGTCAGCAAGGCAAAGTGCGATACTATCTGTCCAAGGCAGATACAGCAGGCACTGACAAGGTTGGTGGCTCGACTCAAAGCAACAAGAGTCTACTTCTTTGGGTGATGCATATCTCATGATTTCCATGGACTACTGGCGCAGGATCGGTTCAAGGTGATTACGCAGACAACACAAAACCTTTGCCGTCGGCCCGCGCTGAATAGCGTGGCTTTTGAAATGCCAGTGATTTACATTCCAGATGAAGAGGATGTAAGTTGACGCAGCGGTCCGCAGTCTGCCGAGGTCCTTGCACTTGACAGGACTCTGACTGACTTTCCCGACTGGTGCTCTCTTCTTTCGGTTGCATCCCGGAAATAGCCTCTGGCCAACCGCGTGCCCAACCAGATTTACGAGCTCTGCGGAGCCATCGACGAGACAGTGCAGCATGTGGTACAGGTAATTCACGTGCTTGAGCAAGCGACTTGAGACTCGCGATAGGAAGGAGGAGATGCTGGCAACTTGAGCCCACGCCGACATTTTTATGATTTTGCTGATGTGTCTCCCTCATGGTGCACAGAACTCTCTCAACGGATTCAAGCATGATTGTCAACACCTGTTGGAGAAGATTGATGAAAAGTTGGAGTGGAGCTTGTCAGTTTGAAAGGCTACCTTGGGTGATGCCATTGCTCATCGTGTCTGGTGTTTGCCTGGTTGTTGGATTCTTCGAGTGTGCCCGCATGCACGCGCACACTGCTCAACCTTCAATGCTGACGGAATGCTCTGTCTTCCGGTTGCTCATCAGGCGTCGCAAGAGCCGGTGGTTCCGGGATCTTGTCACCGGTTTTCTTTGCTTGTCCGCTGCCTTGGGCATGTTGTTCATGAGCCTTTATAGCATTCTGTACCCTCCAGAGGTGAGGGGCGTGTCTGCGTCAGATCGTGTCATGATTGATGCTTTTCATGATGCCAGTGTGGCTCACTGCATCCTTAGGATGGTTATCAGGGCGCGATGCTTTCTCCGGGCCAGCGCGTTTATGCCGCAGTGTATTGTACGACCTGCTCGGCTCACAACATTCTGGTTTGGAAAAAATTTTGAGTCATATTTGCTGACCGCGTTGGGTCCAATGGTGCTCCTTCTGCCACAGACGCGACAGTCAATGTCTTTGCTATATCTGGCTCCTCCTTTGGAACATATGGCGGGATCTACCTTTTTGCACTCGTTGTCGTGGCGCTGGCCATCGTTGGCATTGGCAAGCTGTCTCGGTAGGTCGCAAGAAGCCACGTCCGTGCGTGTCTTGTTTCGACCATTGCTCACATGTAAATTGGGGACGTAGACTTGGGCCCACGCTGACCAAAGCGGAGGTCAAGGCTCTGCACCACGACAAGGAGGTTGTGCAACGCACGCTGGAGAACAACTTTGAACGGCTCTATCGCCTCTACCTTGGTGAATCTGTGGGGGATGGTGCTCAGGCCACCGCCAAACCAAGCTCGTTCTAAGCTCGAATCTTGCGAGCAATGTGCGCTTTCCTCTTGGCACGCGTTTTCCATTCTGCGAATTGAACTTGCATGTGCCAGCAATGCTGATCGGCCAAAAAGGTCACAATCGGGAAACAAGACGAGCGGTGATTTACAGATTGATACATGCGCATGTAGCTTTTTTTTGGTGGCAGGCTTGTCATGTTTTGCTTGCATGCAACCACAGAATCAGTCACAAAGGAGGCGAACGCTTGCTGATGTTGATCGATTAGTCGAGTCGCCTGCCTTGTGTGACTTGGACCTTGGGGCCGACATGGTGTTGCTCACATGCAAGTCCAAGTAATTTCACCCAGGGCGCTGGCCATCTCATTGTGAACGGCCTGGGTCGAGAAGCGCTGGGGCGACCACAGACATGGGCGGGCCAGGGCGGCGCATTGGGACCAACACGTCCCTTGACATGGATCAAGCTGTGGAGCTGCATCGCAACTTATCAAATTCCACCGCCCCTGCTGGTGCTGGTGCCGAGGGGGCTGGCTTCAATGGTAAACGTGGGCATGGGCGCCCCGCGTCGACGGGAAGCGGGTATAACGTTCTCATTGATGCCCTGAAATCGGCAGCGGGGGGCAGTTCCAGCGCAGCCAGTACTCTCCATGCGAGCACGGCTTCCAATTTACCCTCTGCACACGGCCAAACGTCTCGGCTGCCCAGCGTCCAGGAGCATCCAGCCCGTACCATGCCCATGGCAGCATCAACGTCCCAGGGGCAAGCCGCTCGTAAGTGGCTCAAACAGAGTTCGTTCGTCTGACTGCATTCAGCCATTTGAAAGCAGGTAATATGTTCTTGCTCACCTAAAGTACTTGATTGCATGTGCTTCATCCAGACTCATCGGACCCCAGCGCTGCACCAGCCAAAGGTGGCTGCCTCGGCTGCCTCGGCCGGAGATGAGGCACCTCTGTGCTATTGGAGCCCTTCGACTCGTGCCCGTGCGCCGGGGTCCCATGAGCAGTCTCATCATTACAACTCGAAGCAGCGAAATGTTCTGCCTGCTTGTATGGACTCCTTCCCCCCCCCTTCTCCGCCAGCCGCTGCGGTTGCCCCCTGCCAGCCTCTGCCAGCCTCTGCCAACCGCAGCCATGCTCGCATTCCCTCCTGTGGGCTCTCATCCGCACACCCTCCCAAATCGGCTTGCCTTTCATCTGACAAATATCGAATTACTATTTGAAAACAACTGCTGTTGTCACCATGATCCTCTTCCAAAATTTTGGGTCGAGAGAAAGAGAGAAAGAGAGAGAGAGAGAGAAGAGAGAAAGAGAGAAGAGAGATAAGAGAGAGAGAAGAGAGAGAAGAGAGAGAGAGGAAAAAAGATAAAAGAAAAGAGAGAAAAGAGAAAAGAGAGAGAGAGAGAGAGGTTTGGTCGGTTTGAGAAAGAGAGAAAGGGAAAAGCACAGAGAGAGAGAGAGAGAGAGAGAAGAGAAATTGAGAGCACGAGGGTGGCACTTTCATCCCGAAAAGGCTTTTTGTTCGTTCAGGGCTGGTTCTTCAAATTTTCTCTCGACCTCCAGAGGGCGCGGGGTATGCACAGGGCATATGTGCCTGTGGTAGAAGCGGGGCAGTGGAAACGCGGGTTGGAATATCTTGTAGTGAAGGCTGCGTTTGCAGCAAGAAGGTTCTGCTATTCCAGGATGGACTGGCTCATTTCTGTGGGTGATTGGTGTCACATGCAGCAGGATCACGATCGGCGAGCTCTGTGGTACCAGCACAATGGCGGCGGTACGTTGCGTGCATGACTGCATGTCATCAAAGTGCAGTATGGCGTTTGCTCCCGGTCTTCTTCTTGTGCACAACAGCCTTTTTTCGGACTGTCTCCGGCATTAGTGACTGGCTGACCGGTCTGGTTTGTTCCTGTGGTCACGTTTGATGGTGCATCGCAGCCAACTCTCGAGGAGTTTGTGCAAATTTCGGCCGCCATGGCCAGCACCAACAGCGACGAGCTTCAACACGCCAAGCAGTGGCTTGAAAAATTTCAGTCTACTGTGCGTTTCCTGACAAGGCGGGGAGCCTCTCATCACCAATCGACCAGATGAGACTCCTCATATCTGCGGCGGCCTGCTTCTTTTTTTTTTTTATCTGGTTCATCATTAGGTGGAAGCTTGGAACATTTGTGCTGCAGTGCTTCACCAGAAGCATTCCGAAACTGCATGCATTTACGCGTCTCAGGCCATGCGCCGCAAGGTGTGAATCATGGCTCATGGGTGCAATTATGAATAGACAAAGGATCTCACACACGCAGACTTGCTGCAGCTCACACCAAACCACTGGCGCGCCCCGCTTGCCCATGAATCAGATCTTGACGGATTATCGCGAATTGCCCGACAGTGCAACTGACGATCTCCGCAATAGCATCATGGATCATCTTGCAAGCTTCACCGCCAAGCCCGGCGCCAAAGTCGTTGTGCGACAGGTACAGCGCTGCGCCGTCCCTCTCGGGCATCGTGTTCTCGTCACATGCTGACAGAAAGTCAATGTCATCGTGTCCGTTGTAGCTCTGTCTAGCCCTCGCAGATCTGGCCGTGTACAAGCAAGATTGGCAATACCCCTCCAACACCATTCTCGAGCGCTTTGGTAAGCCACGCCTTCCAAACCGCCAAACCCAACCCCGCCCCCGTTTTGTATAAAACACAAGTTCAAATTGCGCGCCCGCTTCGTGGGACACGGCAGGAGGCGACATTGCTGCCATGCCTACCGTTCTCGAGTTTCTCGCCGTCTTGCCCGAGGAAATTGCCAATGAAGAACTTCGTGTGACGGTTCGTGCAAGCCCTTCCACCGTGGGGCCGCCGAGCCAATCCTGGCAAAGAACCCTTGGAGCTCACTTCTGTGTTTCCACTCAATTCTGGCTTTCCAAAACGACAGTCGGACCGCCAATATCAGGTTGACAATCAGCTGGCCGAGGCTTCGGGTCAGGTTTTGCAGTACTTTTGCCACTGCTTGGAACACGCATCGACTTCGGAACTGAAGCAGCAACTCCTCAAGGCCTTGGCCTCGTGGTGCGAGTTTGAGGGCCCTTTGATTCAGAATTTGGCCTCAACGTACGTGATTCGTCTTGCTGTGGTGCTCACCAATGGCTTGCGTCCTCGCGCACGCGCTTGTCATTGCACTCCGTGATCTATGGGATTCAGCCTCCTCATGTCGACGCTGATTCTCGCGCAGTCCTCTGATTGATTTTGCCATCTCGAGTCTGAGCGATGAAGACCTCCGCACCTCGGCCGTATCGGTGCGTGCACGAGCTGAATGGCACATGAATCAGTTATAGAGTGTGATTTTTAACCCTGGTATCATTCTTCTTTTTGTCCCCTCCACTGTGCCACAGGGCCTGGTCCAGGTCATTCGCATGTGCGAAGCTCCCAACCGCGTGGAGCTCAAGCAGGTCATGGCTGGCAAGATTGCTGCGCTCTCGCCGGTACGAAAATTTATTCCAGTGCCCTTTTGGGCTCTGTGGTCTCGTACCAGAAGTTTCATGTGATTCGTACGGGTTATCTTCTGCTCGCTCATGCCCGTGCTTGCCTTCTGGACGCAAACTTTGTTTCTTCGTGTCAACGGGGTCCTTGCGCAGCTCATGAAGGATTCGGCGATGAATGAGGATGGAGAGGGTGGCAAGCATTTGGCTCAGATCTTCTGTGCCTTTGGTTGTGCACTCCGCTTTGACATTGTTCACACTCCACCACACACTTTGTTCGTCCTGCTTTCGCCATGCCATGATGCACATAATACCGAGGCCTGGTGCTGACGATTGAAGGCTCATGCTTACGTTCACGCGGGCATCATGTTGCAGTGCTTCCCTCTTTGATGTCTTGATGCAAGCTGTTGCACACCCCTCGCCTGAAGTCATGGAGATTACCTATGGGTTTTGGTACAATATGGCCGACGTGCTCGATGAGTTTGAAAACTTGAACGACATCCCCGCTTTGGTACGATGCCCTGTCCTGTCTTCTTGCTGTGTGTCACGTGTGACTGTCCTCCTGGCTCCTCCGCGTCTCCACCTCATTCATGCCGTGCCGGTTCACGTGTCTCGTTGAATATGTAGGAGGAGATCAAGGGGCGCTATGCCGAATTGTACAACCACATTTACCGTGCAACGATTCTTCCTGGTGCGTTCCAATTTCGACTTGTACGGCCGTTTTCGTAGTGCCGCGTGGCTCGGCTAACAGTCCTCTATTGGATGGCCGCAGCCGATTTTGCGGGCGTGGTGGAAACCGAGTCAGACGAAGCGGATGTGCGCTATCGCGCCATTGACGTTTTCGTCGAAGTGAGTCTCAATGATATATCTGTGTTTTGAGGTTTTTGCCGCCTGCCTGTGTGGGTTGGCATCCCTCTTTGCACCGCTTCTGTGTTGACGGGCGTGTTTGGTGGGGTTTGCAGACCTCGTTCATTCTCGGATCAGAGGATGTGGGCCAACAGCTTTTGAACTTGGCCAAAGCGGGTCAGGAATGGCAGGTTAGCATTTGAGAGCATGCCCAATGGCAAAAGCAAAGCAACGCCTCGTGTGCTCGTGGATGGTCTTAATCTTCGTCGTTACTTGTACTTGTAGGCGCAAGAAGCTGCGCTCTTCCTGATTCGGAGTGTCATCGGCCGGCTTGGTGTCCGTGCCGAAGAGGATCTGCATTCCCACAAGCCCGTTGTGCGACAGGGTGAAAGCATCGTCAACGATCTCATGCCTCTACTCACCTGTATGTCATATGGCTCACGCCCGACGAGTCAACGTTGGCGCAAGCAATATTTGCTTCATCTTGCCTTTCTCACTGGATGTCGGGCGACTCCCACTACAGCATTGCCGGACCAAGTTCCGAGCCAGTTCCGCCGAACTGTGATCCATTTGATTGGCTCCTCTTCATCGCGCTACCGCGATCTATCAGAGTGGATTGCCATGCACCCTGACTGGATCCGACCCACCGTTGATTTCCTTGCCCGTGCGATCCGGGTGAGACGGCACGGAAGCATGCCTCATGCGTTTCGCCTAGCATTGCGGTGCGTGTGTTGCAAAATCTTACAACCTTGTGCTTGACCTTGTTTCTTGTTGGCGGCACCTAGGATCGTGAGGTCAATCACACGTGCTGTGCTGCGCTGATGCACATTATGAACAAGTCAACGGACAAGTTTGCGCCTTACTTGGACCTCGTTTTCCAGGTGCGCACGAGAATCGTTGACCAGCTTGTTGGCTGCTGTCAAATTGGGCCCACCGAGATTCATTCGGCTATGTATGCTCTGCATTTGAACTCATCCTGTGGGTTTGTCGGGGTCTCTGTAATGACAGATGATCACTGCGCGAGATGAGTTGTCGCTGGATCGCATGGACCTGGAACAGCTTTGCCGTGGGTCGGCCAATGCAAGTTTTTTTTTTAATCTCCTGCTGCATTATCGTGTTGCTGCTGGACCTTTCAATCGCGGGCGACGCCCGCTTCATGGCTCTAATAATCTGCATTCTCGTGGCGTCCTGTTGTGTGTTGCAACCTGTTTGCAGGTTATTTCTGTTGTCGGTGGAAGCAAAGCCACGGAGCTGATGCAAAAGCTGCTGGAGCCTCTTTTGTCCTCTTTGCAGACTGTACGGTGATTTCGTAGCATCTCGCATGCCTCTTGCAGCGGCACGCACGAGTACTTGCTGATTCAATTCGAGGTTTCTGCCGGTGCATGTAGCTTGCGAGTGCTCCGCTGACGCCCGAGAGCGAGGAGAAGGTGCTTCAAATTTTGGCTGCCGTGGCCAAGGCATTCCAGTGCGTCGCGCCAATGCAAAGTGCCCGGTTCTTCTCTTGCCATGTGTTTGAATTTGCTATTTGGTGAGAAAGCTAATGACACCACGACAATGGTCCCAGGAATGCCAATGTCACAAACGACAAGTTTCTGCCCAATGGAATGCATCCTTTCCACGAGGCCGCCGCCCACACGTGTACAATGGCCCTGAACGTGATGCAACACCACCAGACCAATGCCGAGGTTGTCTCTTTTGCCAACCAAGTCATCCATGGGTATGTTTGATATGTGCGGCTTGGGTTGATCTTGCCTCAGCCATGTCCGTTTGTCTTGTACCGATGCTGTACGGTGGCACGTTATACCGTTGGCTTTAATTTTTCTCTCTCTGCCTTGCTTTCGATCATGCAGCTGCGTGCGATCCATGGGCCGTGATTGCCTTGAGCTGACGGCTCAGATCATTGGCGTCATGCGTCATGTGCATGCCGCAACACAGAACAGCTCGTGCCTTTACGTGGTCTCATCTATGATCAACGTACGTCCTCGGCGTGACAACAGTGCCTCATCTCGTGCTGCCGGAAGCCTTAATGATAAACGCTTTCGATCTTGTGGCGACTGACCGATTCGCGGGCACACATTAGACCTTGGGTGAGGTGGATGAGGTGAAGGAGGCGCTGTTTTCCTTGGCACATGACCTGAGCTGTAGCGCTTTTCAGACGCTGGCATCGCATCCAAATGCCATTGCCGAGAACATTGACCTGACGCTAGACATGTTCAGGTTCGCCTTTGTCTTTCAAATGGCCGATGTTGTTTGTGCACCTGTCAAATTTCCGGTCGTTTGGCAATGATATCCGGTCTTGCTGCGAACAGGATACAATGGCGCTTGATCAGCAAGATGCCTGTAATGTACTTTCGCAGCGACCTGCCTTCTGTGTCGGTGGATGTAAGTATTGCAGGCAAGACTGGGCATCCTGGACGCATTTGGGAGAGGGTCTTGTGATGTGATTCAGCTGACTTGCCTCGGGTCATCTTCATGCTTGATACTTGATCAATATGGAAACACATCGGTCAAACTTCTAGTGCGCAACTCGGAGTATTCTGCACCGCGAGCGAGATACTGTTCGCGAAACCACAACCTTTCTTTCGCACCTGTGGCGGGCCGATCACATTGGCATGGAGGCAGAGCAGATTGAGAATAGCGGTAGGATTGGCTGGGGAGAGGTGTCTTGTTTAAACTGCTTTGCAAAGGCATCATTCATGATGGGGTTGCATTGTCTTTCCTTTGCTGTGCATAGCTGAGATCAAGGCAGCACTGCTGACACTGCTGCACACCAAGGGTGAAGCTTTGACGCACAGCGTCATGGAGGGCATCATGGGTAGGTTGATGACCTATTGTTATACCTGACAGCTTGCTCGTTTCGCGGGGCAACTCAAGTTTGTACACTGCTGTGGGTTTTCCAGGTGGCCTCCAATCGAACATGGCATCGGAGCCCGCAGAGGTATTGTGGTACATGCTTGAGATTGATCGCGCCCTGACTCTGCAATGGATTGCCGCAGCTCCAGCGTAAGTCACATCCCACAGCTTGTGGTAGATCCTTTGAGGTTATCGACCCCACTCTTCTCATCCTGCCCGCGCCTGCTGGCTTATGTTTCTCCTGTAGTTTTGCTCTGCTGGGGTCCCGCAACGTACCCGAGGCTGAGACGACCCAGTTTAGCCAGAGCATCCAGACAGCCAGCTCCATGCGGCAATTTGTGCATGCGTGCCGCAACTACTCGCGACTTTTTGGTTAAGAATTGGCCGTGATGACGGCGTTGTTTTTCAAAGATGAACACATGTCTACCCTCATGCTGCTGGCGCCCAGCTGTGTGTGCATGTACACCTTGCTCGCACACGAACGTGACGACGCGAGTCCAGCAAAGAAATTTGACGTTTGCACCTTTCCTTTCCTCTCCGGTATCAGGGTTGCGGCAATCGTTTGCTCTTCCAAGGGCGCGACCAGCCAAGAACCCTTTTCTTCTTCGCATCTCGCATCTCATCTTGAACTCAAATCAGTTGGAGGGAGGGTTTTAGAAGCTAAAGTCGAGGCCCGAAAAGCAAATAAAACCGAAAAACAAAAAAAAAAAAAAAAAAAAACCAAAAAAAAAAAAAAAAAAACGAAAAACACAAAAACGTTTGACCACATTGCCCATGATGCCACTTGACCTGCGAATTTTTTTTTTTCTTGCTCGCACCGACTCGGCCTCAGAACCAGCATTTGAACATCACCAGGACCTGTGCCATGAGCGAGATTGAGTGCCCTCTCAGTGTGGCTGACCGGACCGATCTGGTCGGGACCTTGTACTACGAGCATGGTATGTTCATGCTTGGAGGAAGCGACATCATGTGCGCACAGTTGGCGCTGCCTGGACAGCACCACGTTGTGGAGCCCACGGGGCCTGCGATCGATCATGACATGCTTAAGGCAGTTCTGACGGCTGATGCCACCACCATTAGGCGAGGACCTGTCCATCGGAACCTATGGCACAGACTACGTTATGGCCGCTCTATGTATCACACTTGGACTGTCGCTCATGACCATCAAACGGCCCGAGAAGGACATGCATGTGTTGGCGACACGTCTGATGGGCATTAGTCTCTTTGTGGAGGCGGGGGCAGACCTTTGCGGCGCTTACTTTCACCAGTTTTATCACCCTGCACACGACTCACATTTTCGCCTCGTGTGGTCCTTGACCATGACATTACTTTTGGCGCTGGGTTGGCTGCGTGGTTGTGCCTCCATTGTTCTCTTGTCCAATCACACCACTCGCCGCTTGGCCATGTTGAGCACGGCTGCGCTGGCCGGTCTGCTCGTCGGCACGGTGTGGGTGATGAATGCACCCTTTCTTATTTTTGCAGTATGCGCAGTACTGGCACCGACCGTTGGTTTGGTCGCCTCCATGGTGGCCCACCGCCAGAGTGGAACCCAGCGACTTTGCGCAATGAACGGAGCTGTGGCCCTCGTGCTTACTCTGGCATGTACGTGGCACGTGGATGTTATGTTTGCTCACTTTTGGAGCCTTTCAAGTTGCCCCTCAACATATCTCGCGAGCGAGGCTTCACTCACCTACTCTTGATGCTTACAGCGGCCTATGTGCATGGGGCGGGTGCCGGCCCATGTGCCACGCCTTGTCCCGTCGACTGTCCCTACTTTGCCCCCAACCTGAACCACAACGGCGTCTTGCATGTGCTGCAGATGATTGCCATCACACTGCTAAGCTTGAACTGGCGCTCCTTCCATGCGTGCGCCCCCGTGGAGGGCGCGCCAACGCAGAAGAAGAGCAAGTAAGCCAGGCCAACTGTGTGGGCCATGGAGTAGTACCTCCAAGCGAGCCCGAGTGGCCAGACGAAAATTCATACTCAACAATCTAAATTTTCGAGGATGGTGCAAAGGTCTTCCCCTCAAGACTTTCTCTCCTACTGTGAGAATCTCACCCAATCAATCAGGGTAGACGCAGGGTACTGCGCCTCGGGTCCCGGAGGAAAATACCATGCCACGGCTGTGTTCATGATGAGGTAGAAAGGATCTAGCAACATGCATTCATTTCGAGATTAGAGGGTGCAGGGATCCGCAAGTGCTTGTGTACGCGCGCGCGCGTGTGTGTGTGTGTGTGTGTGTGTGTGTGTGTGTGGAGAAACGGGTTCAGGCTTGGGGCTTGGGACTGGCTCAAGGGAAAAAGGATGCACGAGACCTTGGGGAATCGGTGCTTCAGCGGCTGTGCGGTAGTGAAAGGGCGTTCCATCAAAAAGAAAGGTCAAAGCCGTGTTGTTCCATTCCAAGCCATACACATGAAAATCTGCATGACCCAGTGTCACGTTGACAGGCTAAGCTGAGTGCTAACAAGGGATTGCAGATGAAGCCTGAGAACACCGCACGCACCAGTCAAGTCTACCCCCGTCCCATTTGCAGGGTACATGCTGCCTGGAAGAATCTGGCGATTGCTGTCACAGCTAGTGCCCCATCTGGTGCGTGCGAGACCCGTGCAATGAGGACGTGAGTGTACGTCTCTGTGCATTGCACATTGACCATCAGCAAAAGGCCGGCCGATGGGCACCACAGACCGATACGAGCCAAAGACAGCGTTGACGACGGGGTTGGCTGTGTACTCCATGATATCAATCTCTCCTATATATATCCCGTGCATGATGGTGCAAGAGGTGCAGTGTAAGCCACCTGCTGCACGCAGTTGCCAAGGAGCGAGACAGACAGGCAGACAGACAGGCAGACAGACAGACAGACAGACAGACAGACAGACAGACAGGCAGGCAGACAGACAGGCAGACAGACAGATGGGAATACAAGCAGGCAGACAAATAGACAGGCAGACTCGCGAGTAATGGCGAGTGTGAATAGCACATGTGTACAGCCTACAAGCCATGCATCGCCGCCTACCTCCCATGGGCCAGCACACGTTTGGAGGGTGTGCTGTGGAGGGATTGGGCATAAGCCACAAAGCAGGCCACGCGCCTGTGGCATGCACCGAAGGGAGCGCAGCGCGCACCTTGCATGGTATTGCGAGCAAAAGAACAATTAGGACCGCCGGGGGATATAGAACAGAGCCACAGCTGCCGGAAGAGTGCGCTAAGCATAGGTACGTGAGTCACGAATGAGGCTGTACCTCAAAAAGGCCAAATGCTTGGTAAACACGCTCGCGAGTGTCAATCCAGCCACTCGTGTAGTTAAAGACCTATAGCGAGCGCTCTAGGACATGAGGTGATGTCCGGGGGCTCGCAAAGTCATATTTGCATGCATCAAAGACACCCGAGCAAAGCCCATGTGTCATACACTGCCGTGGGGTCCAATGGCTCGTTGCCTTTGAGTGGTAATGTTCAAGAGGCCATTCACCAGGGCCACGTTGCTTTCCAAGTAGAGCTCCAGCTCCTCCGGACAGCAATGCGAGGCGTTGTGGCGCACGTTCCAGCGGGAGGCGTTGAGGCTGGAGCCATTAAAATCTTCAAAAAACGTAACGGTACGTTTGACCGAGCCGCTGGCACTCTCAGCCACGGCCAGCACCGCCAAAAACGCCAGCAGCAGCGACAAGAGCCGCATCTCAGCGATCAGTCGACCGGGTGATTGTTGCTGTGCCATGTTGGAAAATCAAAACAAAACACGCAGACACCGACCACCCCCCTCGCTTTCAGGCGTAGCACATGACATGGTACGACAGCCCACTCTTGCAGGTGGCCCAGAACGCCTTGTTCAACACCACCTCCCCCAACACGTGTCCCCTCGCCTTTATCCCAACAACCTTTCATCCCCTCCCCCGCCTGCCTCCGCCCAGCTCGCGTCCACCACCACCGCCATCACCGCCATGACATCACTGTGTTATTGTCTCTCTCTCTCTCTTGCTGACAAATCAGAACAGTTGTTGTTTCTATCTGTTGCAAGGGGCGGTCTTGTCTTGTCTTTCTGTGTGTGTGTGTGTGTGTGTGTGTGTGTTTGGGTCATTTTGAAGCGGCTGAGCCGGGTGCTGGTGGTGCTGGTGGTGCTGGTGGTGCTGGTGGTGCTGGTGGGGTAGTTCTGTGCCTGTTCACTGTTTCAACATGGCGGCGTCAACATCAGCTCTACACGTATTGGCCAAGGAGGGGGACAACAAAACCTTGTCCGTGGCTCTCAAGAATGCTGATCCTGAGTACGTATCATCAAGCCAGCCTCTGCACGCGTGCTCAAACACGATCTCCCAGCGTTGGGTGCCCCTTGTGCCTGTGGGCGGGTTGCACTAATGCACTTTGCTTACTGTAGTGTCCAGGACAATGACGGAATGCGTCCTCTGCATTATGCTGCGTGGTACGGGCACACGAGCTGCCTTCAGACACTGATCGGCGCTGGCGCCGATGTCAACGCCCACGACCATGACGGTGCTACGCCCGTGCACGCCGGTCCGTTTAACCCGTTTGACGCTGAACTAGAGACCCTCTTGACTTTCTTGATTGCACAGCAGACTGCAGACATGCGGCTGGACCCAAGACTACTTAGCGCTCATCCCCTTGACCTGGATCACTGTCACGTTACCATCCGTAGGCGCATTCAACGGACAACTTGCCACCGTTGTGGCCCTTGTTGAGGCCGGGGCTGATTGCACCCTGACTGACAATGACAACGCAACACCCAGTCAGGTTCGTAACGAGGCCTCGTTGACCTGGCCTTGACGTTATTTCCGAACCGATCCCCAAAGCCAGTGGGTCTTCCTGTTCTCGATCTCGGCTTGATTGACCCGGTGCGGCTCTTAGGTGGCGGCGGAGGAGGGTCACCCGGAAGTCGAGCTCTTTCTAAAAACCGTTGAAGACGATCAAAAATGCGACAAAGTTCTTGTGCGCATGGAGGAGGTATGCTCTCATTGACCTATCATTGTGTGGCGCGCCAAAGATAGCCAACTGCCCGATCGTGTGCTGCGCTGCCATCTCGCTGCCACCCCGTCCATCTCAGCCCCAACTGTACCATAGGCGTACAATGAGGCCAAGGAGAAGAGCAAACAGTCAAAGCTGGTCTTTGCCAAGACGATCAAGGTTGGTGTCTGGTATCCATCTTGTCTGCGGCTCTCGCAACAAACTGTTTGGTGTCTCAACTCACAGCTTGTTTGCTGCGGGCCCAGGATGCCAAGAAGCGCGTGGCTGACCTGGAGAAGGAGCAACGAAAGATGATCAAGAACACACTCCGCAATAAGAAAAAGAAAAAGAAAGAGACCATTGACATGGCTGGTCCCAAAATGTCCTTCTCCCAGGTCGGTCAGGGCTGGTCAAACCTGCGCGCCAATACGACACACAGCATGGTCATCTTCAACTGCTTTAACGCTGTTGATTGTCATTTGGCCTGTCATGCATAGATGACCGGTATCCCGTCTCAAGCGCCTGTGCAATCGGATGCTGAGACAATGCCCTCGGCCATGCGAACACGGCGCAAGTCCACCACCTCAGATGCGCCGCCTGAGAGCCCGCTGGTCCGTCTTGTCTCTTGGCCCGAGCCCGCTCTCTGAAGCTTTTTAGTTCAGCTTTGCTTGCCTGATGGACTCGCAGCCGACCCTTCGTTTGGAAGCGACTCGTTTCAGCAAAGTCTCATCCATGGTGTGGCTTGCCTGCAGCCGTCACAGTCGCCACTGCCCAGTGGTGCAGGCCCAGATTTAGAAATGATTCTGGCGCAGCTGGGCGCCGACCATGGCGATCGCGAGGCCTTGAACATGTTCCTCGCCTCAATCGATCTCCGAGAGGTGGCTCGCATGTTTGAGGCGGAGGAATGGACCCTTGAACGTCTTGTTTGCGCCAGTGCTGTCGATCTCAAGGTTGCGCTTTGTCCACCGGCTCACCCCTTTTGTCTCCTGCACCAATTTCCCCGACCTTGGTCTTCTTCCACACACCGTGCTGATCAACTCTGCTGGTTATCTTCTGATCATGTACATAGGAGCTTGGTCTTCCGGCTGGCATCCGGAAGAAGATTATGCAGGCTCTGCGTCAATTTTAGCTCTTTTTGGTTTTTTACACTATAGTCTCGGCTGATGTCGGCCCACGCGCGTACGCGTGAGGCTTCTTTTGTTATCGCATTTGGTGGATTTTGCATGTTTTTGTGGGCTTTTCAATCGTGCTCCCTTTTGGAGCTGGTTGAGTGCTCAAGATATTATCGTTGGGTCAAGACAAGCCATGCACGGTTGCCTTTTGGCCAAACAACTTCTTCCACTTCCAAATGTTTTGGCATGTTAATTTTGAGACCCGAGCACGTCGACTTTTTTGCATGTGCCTTCTTGAAACGAACAATTGTACGGCACACGTGCATACTCATCTTCCTTGTCCACCCTACCAAAATCAAACTCGAAAGGCGATCGATAAAAGCAATCACTAGCTTTGATTGACGGCTTTGAGTGGCTGACCGCGATCTGTCACGTCGCATGCTATTGCAGCACACCCGGACAAGGGTGCACCTCACAAATGCGGCGCGTCAACTCCTCGGATGAAACCTGAGGCAAGACATGCAGCCACTGAGTTGCTCACGCAAAAACCCAAAACAAAACAAAAACGGGGCATGTATTGCAAGCAAGGACTGCAAATCCGGACCAGTAGATATTGGTGTCGAAGACAGCCATGGATATGGGGATGCAACTCGCGCAGCGAGGCACCTAAGTTACACGCCCCAGCAGGCAAATTGGTGACTCCCTGCGCAAGTGATGACTTGGGGCCACACCGTGCAAGAACATGGGCATTCAGTAGAAGCAAGCTCGACCTGGGGGAAGCAGGTCTTCTAGTAGCCGAGGTGGATCACTAGTCTGACCGCTAGCCTGGGACACATGGAACGGGTGAGCACTCCGGGTGGTCATGAATCGAAAACTGGTCGTGGGTCAGCGAATAAAGATGCCGTCTCACCTCCAGAAGAGACATGGTTCGATTGTAACGAGGCTCCCCGTGATAAGGCGCCATGCAGGTCCGGACCGTTGGAAAGTCTGGTGGCGCTACCATGGTCACTCGCGTCAAGTTGAGAACCCTAGTTCAGAGTGGGCAGGTGAGCAGCGCGTTAACACGATCCACCTGGCCATAGTGCCTGCAGCATGCACGACGTATACCGAGCAAAGCCGCGGTACATGGTGGGAACGTAGGCAAAGGGAAAGATCTCGACCACAATGCTACCACAAAGTCAAGAGGTGAGGGCAAACGGCCAAAAGCACGACAAAGGAGCGTAATCCATAAAGCTTTTGGTACCTGTCTTGGTCAGCAAAGATCCAGTTTGACAAGGCCGCACCGTGGGCGGCAATGACAATGTGATGTCCCTTGCATCGTTGCAACAAATGTGGTTTTCATGTCAATAAGGTAGGCGCACAAACTGCATTCGGTGGGCGTCAGCAAATGCAAGATGTCATGATGGGCTCAGCAGTCCTACCTGCACGGCTGCTTGTTGCGCATCGATAGTCATGTTGTCAAAATTGACGCGATCAATGCGGACATCCTGCTGCAAAGCAAGACCATGGTAGAATTAGCGACAGAGGCTGAAAGGCGGTGACGTTGGATCGAGAGATCAGACGCCGAAACACTGACACACCCGCATAGTGGCATCCGCCAGGCTTGAGTAGAGATTGGCTGCCAAACGGTCTCCATTCACGAAAGCGCGCCCGTCTGCATTGGCTCGTTCTACCAAGAGCACGTGGAGTGCAGCGTCGCGCCGTCTATGGAATGACCAGACAATCTGGATTCAAACCTGGTTGTGCATGCGCCAAGAACGTGGACGCAAAGAGCGAAAGCACTCGTCTGGTCTGGATAGTGGCTGCTGCTTCAAGCAATGGCGTACTCTGGGTGACGGCGAAGATTTAGAGCTTGCATGAAGGGGGCGTTGTTGTTCCACAGAGAGGGTACCACCTGGTGGGAGGGCACATTGCCAAAAACCAAGCTATTCCATTCAACCAGGGTCGTGAGCCAGAGCATCCACACATAAGGCCGTGTGGGCAAGGATTGGGCAGCGAAGGTCTACCTGTTGAAACAGGTCAGCCTCTCGGCAATGGTGGTGGCGGTGACGAGCGGGAGCGCTTGCCCCCGTTTGCTTTCCAGCCGCTACTTGCAAAGTGGATGAGTGCCAACTGCTAAGAGTCGAAGCCATCCACGACTACGATATCGCGGAAGCGAGATTCAAACCCACCGCGAGAAAGGCACGCGTCCAGCTATCTGATTCCAAGTACTCTGTCATAAGCCCTAAATAGGGATGGCCATATCGACGAGATAATGTCAGTCGTTTGAGGGCAGCCGACATGCTGTTCCTGACCCGGTTTTGCAAAGGTTCACACCAAGGTTCAGCATCATGAGCGTTCGTGTTGCCGCAGTACACGGCGCGTTATCGTTCCCTTTTTGACACGAGTAGTGAATTGCATGGTCTTGTGAAGCCTCCGTCATGAGCGCTTCGAGGTTGAAGAGCCAAAAGACATCTGATAAAAAGTGCGGAAAATGCCAGTTGCGGGCAGGGTGGTGCCCCAACAGGTCGATTTCTGTGGCGATACCGGATGAGATGAAATGAAAGAGCGTTTGTGAGTGGGAACGGTGCAAAGCGTGGAAAGCATACCGGCTGTCGGCTGCACGCGGTACTTGAGACGCGCGTGAGGGACCTGATCATCTGCTCCTTCGACCATCCCCGAGTGCGCACAGTCGATACATGAAGAGGGGCAAGCGTTTGAAGCCAAGGACGGCACAAGGCAGATGAATAGAGCCAGGGAAACGAGTGAGTAGCGGAAAGTGCCAAAAGAAGTGCACCAGAGCAGTGGAACAGAAGCGACCTGCAAGATCGAAAGTGAGCTGCTTCTCCTCGAATCCACAATCGCGCAGCGTGTGCAGCTACACGAATGACATCAGCAGCTGCATAAGAGTGGCTTTGACCAGAAACAAGGGCAAAGCCGGACTGGTGGCTCACATGGCGCCGCTGCGAGGCGGCAATGTGCAGTAGGCCGGGCGCCGAAAGACAAACGTGCGAAATGCGGCATAGCGGGCGCAAGCGACCCGGCCGATATGTCACTGCAACGTGTGGAGAATCGTCAAGGCGAGGGGTTCTTAGTCGGAAGAAGCGCGCGCGGAGGATCTGGGAAGGGACTATCGATAAGACTTACGTTGATCATGAGACCAGGTCTCAAGCTGAAGCTCATTGGTGGCCAGAATCATAACCGGCGAAGCATCAGGTTGTTCCTGCCAAGGCCAAAGCCAGAAAAAGGTCATGGCACCACCAACAAAAGGCGTCAAACTCTGTTGACCGAGGTACGACGCCTCGGGGTTGGTACCTCAAAGCAAGTGCAATCCTGGCAGGTCTGATAAAAGTAGCATACGAGGTCGGACTGGCCAACAGGAATGTCTACGGATGGGGTTGGGACGCGCTCAACATGGTCATGTCACCAAGTTGCCGCAAACCTCGAAGTGAGTTTTTGCTTACCTTGCTGAATGCCAGTTCCTGCACATGTGAAGGGCTTTCTGCAGGCGCACACTTTATCTCTATCGGTGCGATGCAAGGCGGTGGCCCAGTGTCATCAAGGGGCCACAAAGGCCAATCAATGGTGGTCGTCGGGGCCCATTAGTCTGGTGCTAGGCGGGCGAGATCAGACAGACCCGAGTTCTGGAAGGGTTTCGAGTCGGGCATGCCCAGCG